CAATACCACTTTTTTCACTAAATGTATTTTGGATAATATAGTTACTTTTCATAAAATATTTATGCTAACATGTATTGGGTTTGTGAAGTTTTCCAGGTTTAAATTTTTTTTAAAAGATTTAAAAAAAAATTTATTTGACAGAGACACAGAGAGGGAACACAAGCAAGAGGAGTGGAAGGGGAAGGAGCAGGCTTCCTACAGAATAGGGAGCCGGATGTGGAGCTTGATCCCAGGACCCTGGGATCATGACCTGAGCCAAAGGCAGATGCTTAATGACTAAGCCACCCAAGCGCCCCTCCGGGTTTGAATTTTTTTTAAACATGTATTTATTTGAGAGAGAGAACATGCTAGGGGGAGGCAGAGGGAGAGAATCTCAGGCAGACTCCACACTGAGCACAGAGCCCATATATGGGGTTCGATCCTGGGACCCTGAGATCATGACCTGAGCTGAAACCAAGAGTTGGACACTTAACCTACTGAGACCCCCAGGCACCCCTTTCCAGGTTTAATTTTTAATGTAGCAAACACTGAGATATGTAACCTGGATTTTTTTTTTTAAAGCCCTTAGGCACCTCAGTTTTTAAGAATGTAAAGATCCTGAGGCTCTAAGGTTTGAAAACCAAGGTCTCCAGATGTTTTAAGTGTTCAGAATATATGGATAAAAAGCTAATACCACTTCTGCTTTAATCATCCTAAAATCAAGACATTAAAAAATAATAAAGCCATTGTTTCTTTAACTATAAAATGTGTCATTTACATATATTTAATGTATTTGAAATTTAAATACATTTGTGTCTAAATATATTTAATTCTTGAAAAGTAGTTTTATTGTTTTTTTTTTATTTTTTTTAAAGATTTTATTTATTTATTGAACAGAGAGAGAGAGAGATCACAAGTAGGCAGAGAGGCAGGCAGAGAGAGAGGGGGAAGAAGGCTCCCCGATGAGCAGAGAGCCCGATGCAGGGCTCGATCCCAGGACCCTGGGATCATGACCTGAGCAGAAGGCAGAGGCTTAACCCACTGAGCCACCTAGGTGCCCCAGTTTTTTTGGTTTTTAAATTGAACAAAATACATATGGATGGTTTTTAAAAATTCAAAGAGTACAAAGATACATTTTAAATTCTTTTTGAGTTAAAAGGGATGTATAAGGGACACCTGAGTGGCTCAGTCAGTTAAGTGTCTCCCTTCAGCTCAGGTCATGATCCCAGGGTCCTGGGATGGAGCCCCGCATCAGGCTTCCTGCTCCGAGGGGAGCCTCCTGCTCCCCCTACTTCGACTCTCTCTCCTCTCAAATATATAAATAAAAAAATCTTTTAAAAAAGGGGTCCTTTGGAAATTTGTAGGGGAAAGAATATAATTATAACCATTGTTTTACCAATTTACCAAATAATTTTTTCAGTTTTCCCAAATTCCTTATCCACACATTTATGGTAATGATAAGAAGCAATAAAATTTCAGAGTGTATACTCTATACATACATACATTATACCCAATAATGCCAGGCACCTTTCTAAAATGCCTCAATGACAATGATGATATACTGATGAAAAACTGTCTCCCGGGGCCCCGGATGGCTCAGTCAGCTAAGCAGGTCCTTGCTGAGCAGGGAGCCGGATGTGGGGTTCAGTCCCAGGACCCAGAAATCATAACCTCAGTTGAAGGCAGTTGCTTAACCGACTAAGACACCCAGGCACCCAGTAACTGATTTTCAAAACCTAAATGTAGCTTACTCATGATCATTACACTTTGACCCAGTATTCCAGCTAACTCAAAGTCTTATAAATTGTTTTTGTTGCTATTCGTTGTGTTAGCTACTCCTGCCAGATTTTCCTTCCCTGACCTTCCCTTTAAGACTTGTAGACATTCAGGGTGCCTGGGTGGCTCAGTAGTAGTAGTTGTCTGCCATCGGCTCAGATCATGATCCCAGGGTTCTGGGATCAAGCCCCACATCGGGCTCCCCGCTTGGCAGGAAGCCTGCTTCTCCCTCTCCCACTTCCGCTGCTTGTATCCCCTCTCTCATTGTCTCTCTCTCTGTGTCAAATAAATAAATAAATAAAATCTTAAAAAAAAAACACAAAAACAACTTGTAGACATTCAGGGGGGCCTGGCAGGCTTAGTCAGGGGTAGTGTGTTCAAGCCCCATACTGGGTGTAGAAATTACTTACATACATACATACACTTTTAAAAAAAGAATTATAGACATTCAAAGAACGTATACAAGAAGTTAAGATGTCACCTTGGAAAGGCCAATGGAAAGCTCCACTAAATCTAGTGGATTTATCATGGTCCATGTTCTGACCCTCTTGGCGACTTGGAAATCACTTAAAAATGTGACTTAGATCTAAGGAATATTGGCATTAAACAAGGTTATATAAACTAAAACATTATTTTATTAAGTATTATGACTTCCAAGAAGACTGTACCTTCTTGTTTGAAAATGTAGGTTTTATTATTATTCACATATGTTGAGGCCAACAGGAGACAGTTACATTGAAAATACCATTTGTTACTCGCAGTTGTCAAGAGGAGGCAGGGATACCACGTCACACAGGGCCACTATGGGGAAGCACCAGGGTCTGCCTGGAGATAGAGTGTGAGGGAAAACTGGGCCAAGACCTTTTATTATAGTTTCTGTAGGAAAGAATGGGTGAGGCAAGGTAATCAGGTTTAGGATTGGCTAGTTTGAATAATTTCAGTGGTTTCTGGGGTATGGGAGCTGTCACTGGTTGTTTGGTACCTGACCCTGCAGTGACTAGGATGGGGGGTAGTGGCCCTAAGAAGGCCTGTGAGAGCCTGATAAAGGAGTTGCTTGGTTGGAGTATGGACTCTGAGTTGGCTGGTTTGCACATGAAAGATGCATTCTGGGGCAAGTTGTTTTCTATCCCTAGGAATTAGCTAACCCTGAGAGGGGCGGTCCCTCTAGTGTTAGCAAGGCCCCAAAATATCAAAGCATCAGCACATACCAAAACAAAACAAAACAACCCAACAACAACAACAACAACAACAACAAACCCAGAAAACAAAACCAACAACAAAAAATGCATGATTAATACAGTTGTCATCACCCTGACAGTTCATTCCTTCCTTTAAACAAGCTATATGGAAATCAAGTTATTAGAAGGCTACATAGTATTTAATCAGAATAAGTGTAGTTAATCATTTGAGATTTTAAAAGGTCCAGGTACTGGATAACTGATGGATACATCTCTACCAAAGAATATGCTAGGCAGGTGTTCATCATCTTCCCTGGCACTGCTTGGATGGGACACTGTCAGCAATTGTCTCTGTAACTAGGACTGCCCTATGTCCTCCCTAGGAGGACACAGTGAATCAGTATTAGCTGTACTCTGTGGAAATCCTAGCCACAAATAACTAAGAATTGTACCTGTAAAACTAATGAATGAAGGATCATCACACCTTTAAATTAAAGTTAAATCATACTTTTATGTTATGTTAAAATATAACACATATATACATATCTGACTCCTGTTACAAACATCTGTGACTTACCTACCATTGGAATCCCAGTGATATATTCCACTTAATGGAGTGAAAAGTCCCATAGGATGGTTTTACAACCTAACTCAAGCAACCTTAGCCCCTAAAATGTTTTCAGGATTGAGAGAAGACTAAAAGCTCTTCCAAATACAGCCAACAAAGGTTTAGTCTTATTAAATATTTTTTGCATATTGGGATTAGAATAGCAGCAAACATTATTCTCAGTTTCCTATTTACTTAAAATAACATGTGGCACAATTTCTCTTGAGATTATTTTGAAATATTTGTTAGTATTTGAGATAAATAAAAATGATAATCAAAATAACATTTAAAATTTTTATTGATAACATTTTGTTTCTGAACTAATCTATTTACATATTCTTCCAAACTGTATCCTTGCAACTTAAAGCCAAGCACTTTTCTCAATATTAAAACTTGCAAAAAGGGTTTAGCTAATTATAAACATCAGGTACAATTCTAAGTTCTGAATCAAAAAATATTTCTAATGTAATTTACAGTAATGTTCTTTAAAACATTAAATGGAAAACCTCCCAATTATTTTATTCAAATGAAAGCCACAAAAAAATTAAATAATTACCATGTACATTACAACTTGCTTATATCAAATTACCAAGAAAATCATCATGCCAATTGTTAGGATCTCCTCTACTAATAGAAGGCAAAGAAATAAAGTTGTATATGTCAGTCATCAAATTAATACACTCCTGTTTTGTATAATTTGACTTACTCTTTGCTGTAAAACTGCTAGATTGAAATAAGGATTCTTTATATAAACACCACGTTTTGAAGTCGTTTAGATAATATAGTCATTTTGTAATATTTTATGATAGTAACATGGTATTCATTTATTTTGTTAGAAGTTATTCACAGGTCCTAAATACTAGATGATTGGAATGTCACACTAAGGAAATTATCCTTATTATATAAATGTCTAATAATTATATGTTAGAAATTAAAAGATATTGTTTAATCTTGCCTGAAAGTGTACTTTGTAATTAAGTTTCTATTGGCTTTCCTAATTTTACCTAACCTAAGAGAATCTAATAATCAGTTTTTCTTTTCTAAAATGAAGCAAGCACATAGTTTCTATTTGTGATAAAACCCCAGTTTTTTTTTTTTGACTGTCTGTAGAAAGACAAGAATAATTTGATATAAGTAAAGAGGAATGCTGTTAAACTGCTTTTTCTTGTTATTGGGAACCTATAGATAGACTTAAGAAATAATAGCAGGAATTAAAGGATATGAAGAAAGAATTTATGGGATAACATTAAAGACAAAATAAAACCAAGCAAAAAACAACACACTAACACTTAGCGTAGATTATTACTAGCTTATAAAACTCCGATCTGTTATTTGACATTGATAAAGCTGACAACATGAATATTAGCTGCCCAGTATACTATAATGGTTGGCCTTTTAAAATTTTAATTAGATTTCATACACTTGCAATCAACATTTTTAAGAATTAGTTCATTCTTTCCTTATACCGTACAGGCTTATTGATCATAGAACACTTTCATGGTTTGTTTTTTTTTTTAATGCTTTTGGCATCTCGGAAAATTACAATCATTTATTGACTTGTAATGTTAAAAACGTTTATTGACTTGAATGCAGTGTTTCCTAATAAAATACTTGAAAAATCTGAAAAAAATTTCAAAGTCATCTCCAACATATTTGACCTTCTTTTTTTTACTGATTTTTGTTTAAATTAAAAACTTGGGCCACATGAAGGTTGTTATATATTAGAAATTTTGAGAAATATAGCTTTAATTTTGTTTAAATTTCCTTAGTAGAAACTACATATTATTTGTATGTCCACAGTGCCTAGGACGATATGCAGTATATTTTGATGCCCCTAACAATGATGGACTAACCAATTACAAGATTTAAAAGGATGAACATTTGAGATTTCTTCTCTGGTTCTATATTTCTCTGATGTAGACAACTGAACAAAATGTGCTTTCTAGGCATCTCTTAAAAATTTACTAACTGCTTAATTTGTTCTGTTTGCAATGATTGTCTCCTTAACAACATTTTTTTGCTTTTGAATTCTTTAGGGAACATAGGAACTGTTGGCATAAGCACTTTTTGACCACAAGAAAGGAGGCTGGAAATCTTATTATTGGTGTTGATATCTGAAATGGGAGGGTGAGGATTCACATTTAAGGGTGGCAGAAATCCTGGTCTGGCTTGAGTAATATTGTGATCTAAAGAGAAAGCTCCTGACCCACGCCTTTCTAAAAGTGCATGATTTCTCCTGCTCAAGGGACCTGGTGAGATATTCTCCAGCAATTCTCTAGGCCCTGACAGCAAGGAAGGAGATGGCGAGAAGACCTTTTTCTTTCCTATAAGTGCTTTGCCATCTTCTAAAGTTGTAGGGGTAAGACCAGCGGAGAGCTGGGAATCAGAGCTGTAGTGATTTGCCCCTGAGTTTCTTTTTTGAACTATACTTCTTAAGGTGGAAGCAAAGATTGTCTGGTTAGAGTCTGGATCTGGGTCAGCAGGGATTTCAGTGCATTGCTGGCTTCCTTCTGAAAAAAATGCCTGATGATTTATTTCATCGAATGACATCTTTCGTGAGCTGGCCTGATCAAAGGCTCTTAATAAATGTGCCGTGTCTTTTACATCAATACTTTGGTGCCTAGTGATGAAGCGCTTGGAAAGTGCCACCCCATTGGTTTTGTAGGCTAATTCTTCCTCTGGAGTAATATCCTGGAGCTCCTCTTGCAAGGAGGCCACCCTGTTTTGGTGCATTAGTAAGGGAGGACTCTTGATCCAGGTTGGAGGTTGGGGTAGCTTGGGCCCATTAGAGGCCACAGCAGGCTTCCTCACAGGGGAGCCTGGGTCCTGTGTATCATCACTACTTCCTGAGAGTTCCAGACCTTTAAGGCCAAAAAAGGTCGTTTCAGTTTCAGAACAATGTGTAAGTGGCAATGAGGCTGTTTTTATGTCTATTTCTGAAGGCGTGGCACAGGCGGCTGGGGAATGACCCCCATCTATATCTACAGGAGGCATATTTAAGTACTGTTTGGTAGTGTGCCTACCAGAGGGGGATTTCGCTGTCGTTATGATAATGACCTCTTTCCCTTTTGCCTTGCAAGCGCTAAGTAGAACTTTCAGGGTTTCTCTATCCTCTGAATTTATAGCATAAACAAGGGCTGAATAACTAGAATGGTCTTGCAGACTGAGATCAGCCCCATTGTTTAGGAGCAGGGAAACAACTTCAGGACCAGCTTTTTCTAAGCAAGCGTGCATCAAAGCAGTTTTTCCAGATTTGTCCTGTATGTTGGGGTCAGCATTGTTTTCTAATAGGTATTTAACCATTTTGGCTTTACTGACACTCTGGTGATCAACATGTTTGGTCTTACAAGCGATCATTAAAGGTGTTTCCCCACGGTCATTGCTCTCGTTAATGTAGGCACCACCTTCTAGCAAGAGTCTTGTGAGGCGAAGCCGGCTCTGATGGACTGCTTTGATGAGGGAATTACCATCACTTGAAATTTCTACACCTTCATCCATCTTCAAAAGTCAGAATCAATACCTGGTTATCAAAGAATATGAAGAACAAAAGATCAGCCAGAATCCCAGTCTTTATTCATGTTATTATTCATAACTTCTGAAATTTGTATATATAGAGTAACAGGACATAAATGAGATTGTTAATAATACAGAACACAATAGTGAATTGCAGAATTAAAGAAATTTTAGAATAGTAACAGCCTGTAGGGAATCACATACTAAAATTTACTTTCAAAATCCTCATTGAATATTTATGATATAATACCAACCTAGTACTTCCCTAAATTCCACATTAATTAAACTTTATTTTTTTATTATTTTATTTTATTAAACTAAATTAAATTTAAATTTATTTATTAAACTATATTATTTTATTAAACTAAATTAAATTTAAATTTATTAAATGGATAAATATATCCATTTACTTTCCACTTGTGAAAAATATTTTTTAAATAACACAAAATGTAGATTTAAGGAAAAATTCCAAAATTCTGTGTAATTGCAACTGAATCAATGAAAATACAGATATTTATGGCAGATAAATATAAAAATTTCTTAGGGTCGAATTACTTACATGTGCTCTTTGTTAGATAATGCAACTATTATCTTGATTTTCAATTTGAGGAACTTTTTTTTTTTTAAGATTTTATTTATTTATTTGACAGAAAGAGATCACAAGCAGGCAGAGAGGCAGGCAGAGAGAGAGAGGAGGAAGCAGGCTCCCCGCCAAGCAGAGAGCCCGATGCTGGACTCGATCCCAGGACCCTGAGATCATGACCTGAGCCAAAGGCAGAGGCTTAACCCACTGAGCCACCCAGGCACCCCGAGGAACTTTTTTTAAAAAAGATTTTATTTATTCATTTGAGAGAGAAAGAGCACGAGCAGAGGAGAGAGGCAGAGGGAGAAGCAGACCCCACTGAACACTGACTGAGCCACCCAGGTTTCCCTTGAGGAACATTTTTTTGTTTCTTTTAAAGGATGAAAAATCATCTGAACTACAAGACATTAAAATACCTGACACAATGTCTGGAACTCACACTGAGATGGGAATGGTGAACATGTGATTATGCATTTTCCTTGATTTCATTATTTAAATCATACACTAGATTATGGATGGGGTTGGCCACATACTGTTTGGTTAAATTTTGACAGAGTACCTTTTTTTTTTTTTTAAGATTTTATTTATTTACTTGGCAGACAGAAAGAGATCACAAGTAGGCAGAGAGGCAGACAGAGAGAGAGGAGGAAGCAGGCTCTGCTGAGCAGAGAGCCTGATGCGGGGCTCGATCCCAGGACCCTGCGATCATGACCTGAGCTGAAGGCAGAGGCTTAACCCACTAAGCCACCCAGGTGCCCCTTGACAGAGTACCTTTGCTCTGAAAAAGGAGTTTTCTAGGCTAAAAATATGAATAAGGACATGTAGTGTTTATAAACATTTTTCTATCACTAAAACTAAAAATTACATTTAATTTATTTGAATAATTTGGATTCAAACTCCTTCAACAAATAATTCCATTAGTTGATAAGAATTATGTCTTTGGGGGTGCCTAGTTGGCTCAGGTGTAGAACATCATACAACTTTTGATCTCAGGGACATGATTTCAAGCCCCATGTTGGGTGTAGAGCTATTAAAAAAAAATTATGTCTTTATCTAGAGCTGAGGAAATGTTTGTCTCTGAACAATACTTAGAGCTGGGTATAAAAATCAAATAGAGGGGTGCCTGGGTGGCTCAGTGGGTTAAAGCCTCTGCCTTCAGCTCAGGTCATGATCTCAGGGTCCTGGGATCGAGCCCCGCATCGAGCCCCGCATCGGGCTCTCTGCTCAGCAGGGAGCCTGCTTCCTCCTCCCTCTCTCTGCCTGCCTCTGTGCCTACTTGTGATCTCTATCTGTTAAATAAATAAATAAAATCTTAAAAAAAAAAAAGAGAGAAGAAAAATCAAATAGAGTTCATATAATATTTAAATCTATTTTATTTAATGAGGTAGGTTTTAGAAATTGAGTAGTATTATTTATTCCACGTATTTACTTTTAAATTAACAGTATGGGACATGAATTTTTTAATTGGATAATGGAATAGATAATAAATATAGTGACCTCTTAATGGACAGAAAAAGAGATGAAGGGAACAGAAAGAAAATGAAGGGGGGAAGAAAGACATGCACACAGAACTTAGAATCTAAGTGTTAAATAGCTGCAAGCTCCTGTTATGTCCTGGACACTGAGCTACAAGGCACATGCCCTAGCCTGCAGAGCTTGCTCAGTCGTTTGGAAGAGATACTAAATAAGCAGCTGGTTATGAGTTAAAGTCATGAGAATATACAGGCTTGGGGTGCCTGGGTGGCTCAGTCATTAAGCATCTGCCTTCAGCTCAGGTCATGATCCCCGGTCCTGGGATGGAGCCCCACGTCGGGCTCCCTGCTCCATGGGAAGCCTGCTTCCCTCCCCCTCCCCCGCTCCTGCTCCCCTTGCTTGTGTTCCTTCTCTTGCTGTGTCTGTCTCCCTGTCAAATAAATACATAAAATATTAAAAAAAAAAAAAAAGACTACACAGGCTTTGGTGGTTTTGAGACTGAGGGGCTTCACAGAGGGCAGCCATATGAGCTGGGTCTTAAAGACTGCATGAGAGTTTGGTAAGCAGATAAAGTAGGAAGAGAGAAGTAGAGAATGTTGTTTGTGCAAAAACCTAAAGGCTCAAAATAGCAGTTATTTATCATAAATCAGGCTCTATTTATGCTGATATAACCAAACTTTAGAAAAATATTTTAGCAGATGGTTATAGTTAGGGTAAATATGGCAGAACACACACATTTAATTTTGCCTCTTCCTGAACAATCCTCTGAAACTAAAGATTTAATTTTATTTTTTATTTAAAAATTTTTTAAGATTATATTTTTATTTGTTTAAAGATTTTATTTATTTATTTGAGAGACAGAGAACACAAGCAGGGAGGAGGGGCAGAGGGAGAGGGAGAAGCAGACCCCCCCCACTGAACAGGGACCGATGCAGGGTTCGAACCCAGGACTCTGGAATCATGACTTCAGCCGAAAGCAAATGCTTAACCAACGGAGCCAGCCAGGTGCCCCAAGGTTTTATTTTTAAGTAATCTCCTCACCCAACATGGGGTTCCAAGTCACAACCCTGAGATCAAGAGTTGCACATTCCACTGACTGAGCCAGCCAGGTGCCCCAAGAATTTTTTAAAAGACATAAATTCATAAGGATAGCTGGAAAAAGAGACAACGGCAATATTTTGAAAGCCAGAAAGCGGATGGGCCAGTATTAAGCAAATTAGCCAACCTGAGAAGGCTGTGCCTCAGATCATTCATGATAAAGCTGAGAACTCAGCCCACATACACTCCAGAATCCTCGTAAGAGGCAGTAACGTCAGAAGTTCTAGAACTGGGCGGGTGGCTGTGGTGGTGGAGAGTATAGCTAAAATAATGAGTACTAGGGGCGCCTGGGTGGCTCAGTGGGTTAAGCCTCTGCCTTCAGCTCAGGTCATGATCGCAGGGTCCTGGGATCGAGCCCCGCATCAGGCTCTCTGCTCACCAGGGAGCCCGCTTCCCCCTCTTTCTCTGCCTGCCTCTCTGACTACTTGTGACCTCTCTCTGTCAAATAAATAAATAAAATATTTAAAAAAAAAATAATGAGGACTAGGTGAAAAGCTGTCAGGAGAAGCAGTTAGATCCCTTGGTCCTCACCAGCTGAAGTGTGATCCTACCTTGGACCAGCAGCTGCACCACCATTACCTGAGGCTTCATCTCAGGCTGCATCCTGGACCTACTGAGTCAGAGCCTACATTTTAATTAGATCCTTGGGAGATTTATACATGCATTGAAATTTGACTGCCTCAGGTGATTCTTCTACCCCAAGCCACTAAGAGATAGGATATTAGTCCTCCCACTTGAGTTGTTCTTTATTCTGGAGAGACCTTTATTCTTCAGAAATGATGAAATTGGAGGGTCTCTGGACTGGAAGATACCTGACATATTTGAGGACTAGAAAATAGGGACTAAGTGACTGAAAGCTCACTGATCACTGAATGAAGAGACTCAGAGCCTTCTCCCCAATTCAACTCTAAGAAAGCTGGCAGCCTGTACCCTTCCTATGCAGCAGAATATTGCTATACTCTTCTGTTGAGAATCTGACCCACTGAAAAGAAAATACGAAGAGTACTAACCACAGGGATTCCCTAACATGCCGCTCGGATCATCCTACAGCAAGGTTTAAGGATTACAAGCCTCACCCATGTGCTCCAGTCTTCTCATCAGCTTTTTAATCCAAGCCCTTTAATCACGAGAAGATAATCAAAATAAAAAATAAAACAAAATAGAAAAGCCTCTTCCATTAGAGACCAGAACACATAGAGAAAAAGCAACTTGGAGGAGACAGATATTAGTCAGGAAGATAAAAACTTCAAAAGCTCTTTATCTTTAGATATAAGCTGTTGTAACCATGAAACAAAAACAAAGTTCTAGGAAAAAGAGTATTCAGAGACCGTTAAAAAGCATTCTCAAAAGGCAAAAACAGGCACGCCTGGGTGGCTCAGTTGGTTGAGCAACTGCCTTCAGCTCAGGTCATGATCTCAGGGTTGTGGGATCAAGCCCCGCATCGGGCTCTCTGCTCAGAGGGGAGCCTGCTTCCCTCTCTCTCTCTGCCAGCCTCTCTGCATATTTGTGCTCTCTCCCTCTCTGTCAAATAAATAAATAAAATCTTTGGGGGGAAAAAAAGGCAAAAACACCATACAAACTGCAAAACTAAATAGGTTTATATGACAATATTGATAAAAATCTCTAACAGTTAAAAAGAATAGAGGGAGAAAAAAGGAAAATTAGAGGTCTGCACTAGGAAATTCAACATTCAACTACTAGAAGTTCTGCCAAGACAAGCTTCCTGAGCTTGATCCCAGGCCCCAGGGTTCATAACCTGAGCTGAAGGCAGATTGAGCTCCCCAGGTGCCCCATTCCATAATTAAAATTTGAAAGAGTGATTTTTTTTGACATCCTTCAGTTCTGTGTTATCAATAGTATTTATGCCTACACTTTCAAGGAGTTTCAACTAGGGAGCTCCTGAAAGGCAGTATTCAAAAGAATATACTTACTCATTCTACTCTAGTATCACTCATGATGTTAAGCAAAGAACTATTCCATATATACATACATAAGTACAATGAAAGTAAATGCTACGTATTTCATTCCCCTGTGCAATATTCTATGAAAGCTATTCCAAAGCCAGGCATACCTGCAATTTGAGACCTTAGGAATATAGGATTGGTTGACAGCTTGGATCCCACCAGAGGTCTATTCTGAATGCAAAGCATCTGAAAAGAGCTAGCAGAAAAAAACCCCTTCTTTTAGCATTTTTCATATACTAATGTGTTTAATAAAGCAAAGAGATGTAGAGAAATTAGCTGGAACATAATGTCAAATATAGAAACCATTTGGTAACCACAGTTGGAGAAGAGATACAGTATCAGTCACATAAAAACACCTTTGACCAAAAGTGGCATTTGAGAAACATATTCAAATAAGAACAAGTTTGCCAGATAGCAGATTTCTTTTTTTATTTTTTTTAGATTTTATTTATGTATATGACATAGAGAGAGGGAGCACAAACAGGGGGAGCAGCAAAGGGAGAGGGAGAAGCAGGCTCCCTGCCCTACATGGGGCTCAATCCCAGGACCCTGAGCTGAAGGCAGACACTTAACCAACTAGGTCACCCAGGCACCCCATAGATTTCAATATTGTATTCTCATATAGTTTGTAGTGTCGGGGCCAGTCTTGTTTGTTTGTTTTTTAAAAAGTCTTTTTTTTTTTTTAAAGATTTTATTTGACACAGAGAGATCACAAGTAGGCAGAGAGGCAGGCAGAGAGAAAGGAGCAAGGAGGCTCCCTGCTGAGCAGAAAACCCAATGCGGGCCTTGATTCCAGGACCCTGAGATCATGACCTGAGCCGAAGGCAGAGGCTTAACCACTGAGCCACCCAGGAGCCCTGTTTAAAAAAAAAAGTCTTATAAGAATCTTTTGGAAAGACTTTCAAATCCTTTCACTTAACCTCATGTAAATGTTTTCTCCACAACACTAAACCTGACAACTTTCTTTCATAACTTTGTCTCACCAAGGTTAGTGTCAGAAGGTTCTGGGAAGAGAAGAGGAACTGGCAATGTACTGCTGACTGGGCTGCTTGAGGGGTGCAGTAGCCCACGGTGGTCCTGCAGGAAAGGCGGGTGTTGTGGGTCCCAGAGCTCTCTGAAGAAGCTGGGCAATGGCACCAACTAGCTACTGGCAACTAGTGAATCTGTCTTGTGGATGTAAGCATATCCCCTCTAGAACTGTTTAGAATAAAAGCAGCAACAACAGAGCCTTACTCTTTGTTCATTTTAAAGGTTTCTAAAGCCCCTTGGGTTGCTCACTTTTTAAACTGTTCACATTTAATAAAACAATTCTAAAACTGTTTAAAATTAAAGTTCACGGAGCAAAAAGTTGTCAGATAACACATGAATTGTCCACATGAATACACGCTTGTTTTCCTAGTGTCTCATATTCAGTTCCTTATTGGGACAATGCCCTTGTCTTTAAGCCTTTACTTTCTTCCAATTCTTTTATCACAGTCATCCACTTGCACATCAAAAATGCTGAAACTGAAGCTCAATTTTTCTACTCTTCATAGAGGTAAGCCCTACCTGTGACGAAGATCACTTCTCTAGCCTACAATTATCCTGGTTCAGGAATGATCTTGCTTCCTGTCTCATTCTGTGAAACATCCTCACAGAGCACCCACTGCTGACACTATATTAACATTTAGTCAGACCCTTTGTTATAATATAGCATATAAATAATCCCCACACTCAGCTACACCTTCCAAATAGATAACAGGTCGACTGGAGAAAGTTCTGGACTCAGACCACATTTCCATCTTGACTCCCCTACTTACGAGCTGTACACCACAGTCAGATCTCTTAGCCTCTCAGTCTTGGGTCCCTCCTCTGTAACATGACAAGGATCAAACCTTTATTCAAGGCGGGGAGGGGGTGGGAGGAGGTGATGAAATCAGACGTCTAGAAAAAGACTTTCCTATTGTGCCTCACTACTCAGTGTATTCTTTTTAAAAATTCTATCTCAGAATTTAGCCTTCTTTTATTTTTATCATGTCTCCAATTCACAGGCTACTTAAATAACATGAAATATTAAAAATTTTTTAAAGATCTGTAAATAATGTTTTGTAAACGTAAATGGAATCTATCAAGTGAATATGGAAAAAAGATAACCTTAAATGTATTTTCCTTATAACTTCCCAATACAATAATTTCCACATATTATAAGATTAATTATTAAATAGCTGGACAAATTCCTTTTTATTTTAAAATTAGAATGTCTTTAAAATCATTTATGATTCATCGTGGCATATTTACTATACTCTTTTAGTGCCTCTCTCTACTTCCAAGACTTCACAGAAATTACAGTTTGGTTACTTAAAAATTAAAAAAGTATATATACTCTGAAGATGAAAACTTGGGAAGAGATGTATCATCAGATGACAGATTCCAGGTAAGCTTTGGAAACAGAGTGGGGATGGTGGTGTGGTAAACTGCCTTAGCATAACAGAGGCATAAGAGAGGTGGCCCCATGACCAGGAGCCAGCTGACCCACAGGCCCTGGGAAGTTCAGTGCTGAGAGGCCCCACGTGACACAGAAAGTGGCAATGAGGTACAGGGCTGACAGTGAGGATGGTTTGACATCTCTGGACAAATCTACTGGACTCCCAGTTACTTTTCTCCACCCCAAGTAGATAACCACTCTTCTCGGCAAGAAAACAAGATTTATTCTCTGAGCACATCGATCAGAAAGGCTAAAAATAGGGGATAAAGTGAGAGTTTACAGGCTGAATTCCCAGACCTCTGCCCTGCTAGCAGGAGACTAGAAGGCCAGGAAAAAAAAGGAAGTAAAAAAGCACTGGGTCTTAAAATTATGAGCCCTATTAAAAATCTCTGTTGATAAATGAAGCAATTCAAATAACTACATTCACCCCTCTAGACACCCACTCTAAATGGAAATAGAAAGTTACCTGAAAACGTTATTCAAAACTTCATACTTCACTTATGCCTTTTCTCTCCCTGGATGAGTTTTTCTGTCAGCCAGCTGTCAGTTCCTACTGAAGGAAATCAAAGCTATTCAGAGTTACATAAATACCAATAATTTGTTCCACACATCTCTCCCCTTCAGAGTCTAGTTTTTTAATTCCTTGTTGAGACATCCCTACAGTGTTTGTTTGGTTAATTATATTTCAGCGATTATGAGTAAAAGTGTCTGGAGTGGATCCCATGCACCGCAGCCCTGTGTATACAGGCCAAGGCTTGCCCTGCAAGGATGCTGGGGTTGAAAGGGCCGCAGCGCTCACCTGGTCCAGCCCTCCCCCACCCGACACCAGTCCACGCAGCCAAGGAGGCCCAGGAAGGAAGGGTGGGAGAACTCCCAGTCATTCCTCTTATTCGCCTGCTCACCAGGACTTAATTAGATCTTCCTGTGTCCTTTCCTTCAGGTTTCTCTTCTGTTTCCTTGCTTCTTGGATACCAGCTTCCCACAGAATAGGGTTCTGTTCTGAGTACCTGATTTGAGTGGTATCAACAATGGTAGTGCCACACAGGCTGAGGTATTTTAGAAGCCTTTTTAGAGATGACGAGCTTGGCCTTCCCTGTGGCTCCTTCTCTCCAAGCCACCCCATTTTCCTTGCATGCAGAGAGAAATGTTATTTTCCTTTCAGATTCTTACCCTACCTCCGAATAGGATCGGTGTTCCCTCCCATAAAGGGCCATGGTGGGAGAGGGCAGCAAGGGGGGGTGGACAGTAACAAATGGGTTTCAAGCTGGATATTCAGCGCGTCACTCTTGCCCTGGGTCATCCTGTCTTTGTCCTGCCCACAAGGGACAGAAGCTCAGAAGGAGCATCAGGCTGTATGTATCAGAGATTGGGGCTCTGTTTATTCCCAAGTTACCAGCCCTTGGGAAGCCAGTCCTCTGAGGTTCATCCTAAAATGGGGATAGTTATCAACAGAAGAGGATTGTGAAAATTTTAGAAGATCCTGATATAATTGCCCTTTAGGAATTAAATAAACGTCAGTTTCTAAACATGCATCACTGAATATGAATCCTGGGCTGATGGGGTCTGACAACTGGGAGGCCGAAGTGCCTACACAAACGGGCTTTCCATCTCTGTGGGCGTAATCCCATGGAGAGCTTATTACAAATGAGATTTCAGGCTCCAGTCCCACATAGTCAATAGGGGACGCTTCCTAGGCAGACTTGGAGAAAATCTGTGACAAACTCTTCCTTCTTCATTCTAGTCTCACTTCCTATTTGCTGTCAAACCCCGCTTCAGGCTGGAACGAGGATGCAAAGGGCAGAGATGATTGCCATGGCCTAGAGAGGGATGAAGGAGCCCACAGGGCTAGAGAAGAGAATAGCCTTGACTTAGAAGGGGCCAGGCACTGGAAGTTTGCAGTCCCACCCTTCCCATACAGGTCTAAAAAAATCCAGAGGTACAGTGGGCAGCCCAAGGCTGGGATGTGGGGGCCAGTGGCACTTAGAATGAAGCAAGTCGGCCTGCCACAAGCAGAACATGTGTCTTCTTGCCATGCAAGCAAAGGGGCAAAGCCAGAACAAAAGACGCACCGGAGATTGTCCCAGGAAATGTAAAGACTTGCCAAGAAAAGTGTTCTTCTCTGGCACCAGCTTGTAAGAAATATTTCGAAACTGCCCAAGGGAAGGAGTGAGTAGCTAGTAAGGTTTGCTCTGTTTGCTCACACAAAGCCAAAAAGGGCTGGTGTCTTTTAGTTACTTGTATGTCCCCTAGGCCTCTGGGCTAGGTCCCCACCTCTCTCAGCAGACACCCCTCCCAGCACACACGCAGACACGCAAACCTATACCTCCAAGTCTCAGGGAGCCAAGGTGATCGGATTTCCAAGCTGTTGAGGATTCTGGTAGCGTCTCCACAGTCCCCGCCTGCTCGGGGAACCAAGCTTGTTTCCTCAGTTTGTCCTGAGAGCAAGAGCGAGCAAGTCCGTGGTGCTGTCGGAGAAGGGCAAAGGAAGGTGACTGGGGCGACAGCGCCGGGGCACCGATGGGGGCGGGGTGTGCGTTCTGTCGCCTCGTCTCTGAGACAAGACAGGCAGTCGGCGAGCTGAGGCGATCGCCATCCACGTGAAGGGGTTCTGCCCAGAGCCGCAGCCGAGCGGTGCCCGCACCGCCAGGCCGGAGAACTCGGCCCTCCCTTGGGAAATGGCGCATCCGAGGGGAGCAGCCATTGCCCCCATCCCCAGGCAGGGGCACCTCTGGACCTCGGACCTCCCATAGGGAGGTCGGGGTCCTCATGCCAAGGAGGTGCGCGCCCGAGAGACGCCGGGACCGGGCTGCCCGCCCCCATGTGACTCCCATTTGTCGAGCCAGTGATTGCAAACGGCTCCGCAGCCCCCAGCCCGCCTCCCGCGCCCAGCCAGTACCTCCCACCTCCCAGCGGCCGGAGGCACCTGCGGAGACGCGCGCAAGTCGGGTCCCTAGACCCGCGCGCTCCTGCGGCCTCGCGCGCGCCGTTCCCGCTGCGGCGCTAACCCGCGCCTGCGAGCCCTTGCCCGGATGCTCCCTGACATCCCGCAGCCGCGAGGCTGCCCCTATCCACTCTCCCGCGCTGCAAGGCCGAGTAGGAGGCGAAACCCGTATCTCCGGCGGGGTGCAAGCCCGAGCCGCTGCAAAGCCCGAGCCGAAAGCAGGCAGGGATTGCGGGAGAGGGGAGAGCAGACTCGGGTGGAGTCTGGACAGAACCCTGCCCACCAGCAGCCTTCGGTTGACGCCTGGTCTCCGTCCCCGCTCAAGGCACTGCAGTGTCAGGGTGCGCGGGAGGTGCGGGCTCCCAGGGCCTGAGCGTACCCGCCGGGGCGCACGGAGGCCGCGGGGCCCCAGGCAGCGCCCTCCATCCCCTCCTCCCGACAGCCAGCACGCCGAACCAAAGTTTCTCCAAGTGCAGCCCGCAGAGACGCCGTCGCACACGAACCTGGGACGCGCTGTCAAGTCGGCGTCGGCGCCTCCCACCCACGGGTAGCCTCGGACCCTCCGCGCCAGTCTCCGGGCTGCCGTCCGAGCTGGCTTGTCTTCGGGGTCTCCTTGGTGGTTGGAGTCACGGATACCGGTAGGTGCTGCCCTGTCCACGCCCCTGCTCGGCTGAGAGAGGGGGGCGGCGGGCGGGGAGCCGCGAAGCGTCGGAGCGGGGGCCGGGAGGCGCGCACCTCGCCAGACGCCCGGGCGGTGCGGCGTTTCCGCTGGGAGTGACGCGCCGGTTCCCAGCTGCGCGGCAGGTGGGGGCGGCGGGGCCAAAGTCTGTTGGGACCCCGGGGCCAAAGTCTGTCTCTGAAGCTCCGCCCTATGTCCCCAAAAGTAGCCCCACCACACGCACACAGACACCTCACCGCAGCCGCGGCGCTTTGGCGGGGCCGGCTTTGCCCAGGGCAGGGGCGGCAGGGTCTTCTCCACTGCAGGGAGACCGCCACCCCTACATCCCGGCTTCTGGTTTCCCCTGTCCACACCTGCATCTCTCCCTCCAGGTCACATTCGACCAGGTTGGCCCTGTATGTGACTCCCACGGCTCCTTCTTCCCCTTTCTCGTCCTTCTACCCGCTTTAGATAGAACCTGAGTCTCGCTTCAGGTTGGGCTGTTGGAGGAAGCAATCGTTCTTGTTTATATGAGTTTATAACTTTATTACACTGTTATTAAAACATTAATGTAACACTTTAACAAAATGTAACAAAGTGTGTATTTTATGTGTTAAACTGTGCTGTAGTGGTCTTAACTCTTCATTTACCAGGGATCATCAGGGTGGAGAAAAGCCTATGACCATTTTTTGTTGTTGTTCGGTTAATGTCAATCAAAACTAGCTAGTAGTTTTGAGTTCTCAAAGGGGTAAGTAAACTTATCTGTGGGCAGGCTTCTTTTATTTAGGAAAATGACCTGCTGAAATGGGCCCTTTAGTAAAAATAGGTAAAGCAAGTTCACAGGACATTTTAACTTGGAGTTGGCCACTAGAGAGTTGGAATCCTGGATATGGATTACCTGTAACCCCGTCCATTTTTGAGGGAAGATTGGAGAGTCCCAAGGGGGCAAATTTTGGTGAAGGCATGGGCTTCCTTTCCTTCATTTAAAAAAAAGTTTTTATTAATGTATAGTACATATTAAAAGGTGCACATTTCACAGGCTCATCGGTATTGTGAAAAATGAAGCATCCTTAAGATCAAAGCACAGAACATTAGCAGCTTCCCAGAAGACTTCCTCATATCCTCCCTTTGGAGGGGGCAGGGAAGTAGCTTCACCCAACAGAGACTTTTTGCTTATATTTGCACTTTATAACAATCAAATTATATGGAATTTACTCTGTTGTCTGACTTCTTTCACTTGACATTATGTTAAAGAGATGCAAACTGTCTATGGTCATAGTTTGTTCTTTTCTTTCTGTATAGAATAATGCTGTATGAATTTATCTAAATTTATTCATTATACTACTGATAGACATTTGGGTAATTCTCAGGTTTGAGACATTATAAATAATGCTGCTAGGAATATTATAGTAGATGTCTTTGGTGAAAGTATATACACATTTTTGTTGAGTATACATAGGAAACATACATACATACATACATACATATGTGTTCAACTTCTGCAGATATTGCAAAATGGTTTTTCAAAGTAGATGACCTAATTTTCACTCTATTAATTTTCTTTTGCTACTTGTAATAAATTACCATAAACTAAGTGACTTAAAACAACACAAATTTACTGTTTTAAAGTTTTGGAGGTCAGATGTCCCAACTGTTTGCCTTTTCCAGTTTCTAGAGGCTGACTACATTTTTTTGCTTGTGGTCCCTTACTCTGACTTCCAATCTCAATCTCTCTCTCTCTCTCTCTCTCTCTCTCAACTCTTCTGCTCTTGTCACATGTCCTTTTCTCCTTCTGCTTCCTTCTCTCCCTTTGATCCTCTTTGCCTCACTTTTATAAAGACCTTTGGTATATTGTGTATATTGGGCCCACTTAGATAATCCACAATAATCCCCTATCTGAAGATCCTTAATTTAATCACAAATGCAAAGTTCCTTTGTGATATAAGGAACATAATCATAGATTCCAGAGACAAAGATATGAAACTCTTTGGGGGCCATTATTCACTCTACTACACCTATCAACAGGGTATTGAAACCCGCTATGTTGAATGGGTAGAGAGAGGCTAGACTGAAAAAAAAAAAGGGAAAGAGAAACAAAAGTGAAAATGATAATGAAGCCCTGAGGTTCAATTCACCTGGAGGATTGGCTCTCTTGCCCTAAGGGCTGTGCCAGGACTGGTAGGCAGGAAAGGGTGCCTGATGCTGGAAAATTACCTCTGACCAATATGATCCTGACACCACCAACAGGTCTGGGGCCCAGGGCTTTCATAAAGAGAATGAGAGCCTAGGTCGATTTTGTTTGGGCACCCTGCCAACTGAAATGTTAGGGAAGGATTGGTAACAGCAAGAAAACAATGGTGAACAGATCACATTATGCCCTGTGGGTAAGGTCCTATGGTCAGCAGACAGTGACCCACCCCATCCATGTCACTGTCCATCCAACGGGCTCTGGGACTGATCTTTTTCAGGGTTGATGGTGAAATTATGGAGTAAGGTGAGAATGTGATGGGATGGCAGAGCCTGCCAATCTAGGCAGGCATGCCCATGCCTTCATTGTAACTTAAATGTTAAAGGATGCTGGAGGGCTTTAACACTCTAGACTTAAGGATGGGGACATATAGTTTCTTTCTTTTTAAAAAGATTTTGTTTAGTTATTTGGGAGAGAGAGAACAAGTGGTAGGGAGGGGCAGAGGGAGAGGGAGTGAGAAACAGACTCCCTGATAAGCAGGAAGCCTGACACAGGGCTCAATCCCAGGACCCAGACATCATGACCTGAGCAGAAGGCAGATGTTTAACCAACTGAGCCACCCAGGTGCCCCAAGGATATATAGTTTCTCCTTCCTTCTGGCTTCATTTTGGTCCAGCCACCACACCCTTGAAGGAGCTAGGACAGATGTTATCCCTGTTTTACCAACAAGAGCACCAGGGCTCCAAGCAGCTTTCTGATTTGCTCAAGGAGCCTTAGGAATGGGGCTACAGCACAGCAATCCTTGTAGCTCTGCTCCCCTTATCACTGTCCCATCTCCCTGGTGTGTGAGATCCACTGACACCTGTAGACATGGGAGCTGAGAGGCAGAGCTGACCCTACAGGCACAAACCAAATAGGACACATCCTACTTTGTGGGTGATATAGTGGGATTACCTGGTTTTATGCCAATAAGAATATGTTTTGGTGGGGTTTTAGGAATAAGTAATGGTAGGTGCTTGTGTTTGGTAAGCATCTTGATCAGAAATCCCTCCACCAATTTTCTGCCTTCCAGAAATAAGCTGAACATTGATCTATTGATGGAACCCCTCCATTTCCCTTCAAAATTGTGGTTTACACTACAAGTCATTTACAAATTCAGATCTCAGGACAGAGAGGAGATGTGTGATTAGTCTGTCATTTTGAATTTAAAATCCCTTGGTTATCATCCTCATAGTCATAAATCATCGTTAATAAATGCTCTCATGTCTTAAACAGCTTCTCCCTACCCTGGCCTTTTCATCGTCCCTTTTATCCCAGCCCCTTAGGTTTCTCTGCCTTTACCACTTACTTAAGTTGTTCCAAGTCCCCAAGGACGGTGTCAAACCTTTGGAATCTCCTTTTACCTCACCCATCTCAAATTTGGGTTGATGGCTTCCTGGGAAGACTGCTCTACTGTCACCTTGGGACCTTGTTCTGTGATTCTCCTGGATGGACCCCATTTTATAGATCCTGTTTCTTCCTCTCTCTTAATTCACTTCCTCTATTTATGGATAATCTCTCTCTCCAGTAACTTCCTAAAAAGGGTATGTGGAAGGTAAATTTGGAGTCCTTGCTTACCTGAAAATGTCTTTATTCTACCCTAACACTGTTTGATTGCTTATGTGAGTATAAAATTCTAAGACGAAAATAATCATCCTTCAGAAATCTGAAGGCATTCCTCCTTTATTCTCTAGATCCCAGAGTTACTGAGAGAAAATCTGAAGCCATTCTGATTCCTGATCTTTTATTTGGGACACTCCTACCCCTCCTCTCACTCCTCCTTTTGGAAACATGTAAGATTTGCTCTTTTTCTTCAGTGCTCTAAAATTTCACTATTATTCGCATTCATCTGGGTTTGTTTATT